TGTAGTAACCGGCCAACTTCCCCCTCTCGGTCTTCTCCACGTTTTTTGAATTCAGCCATCCTCTGAAGCACTCTTGAAAAGAGAAAGGAAAAACAGATTAACTTTTAGCTTTGTGTTATGATTACTTACATATTTGCACTGTGAGATGAAAAAGAAAGATTCACTGTGATTGGTCTATTATCCACGCAATACAATCCTCGTGTACTGTGGACGGTTGGTGAGGTGATCCAGGAGGTGAGGTGGTGATTCACCCCGAGCGCTGCAGCTTGTCCCCCAGGAGTGGGGTCTGGATGGTGTTGAAGGCACTGGAGAAATCAAAGAACATGATCCTCCCACACACCTCACAGAGCCTTCTCCAGGTGGGAGAGGGACCTCTGCAGCAGGATACCAACCACCTATGTGTGATCGGGTTATGGATGGTCAAATTCATAATGTATTTATTTCAGCGATGAGTGTACCTGCTACATTTTAGGATTTTTTTTTGCTACTTTCTAAATGCGTCGTTCAGGCACTTTACAAACAAGCCTTCATGTGATCCAGTACTTGAACGAGCCATGGGGTACTTACAGTTTTGTACACTAAAACTATATCCTTTAGAGAAAAAGTGACTTTGGACACTGTTGATAGTGTAGACATTATTGACCATTATAGGAGCAAAAACATCTGTGCATAAATACAAATTAATTTTGACTGAATAGCATTCAGTGGCTCCAGTTTCAGGGTCTTGTGCATGTCGGTTCACAGTTACACTGACAATCACAGAGCTTCAGAATTCAGAAGTCAAAATGTGTGTAAATCCCTCTTTAGGCAACTAAAACAAAAACAAGCAATACAGAAATATTAAATCCGCTAATTCTAAATGATAAGGTCACCCTACATTGATAAAAGATAAAATAATAAAATACTCTGGCGTACCGCAGACTGTATAGTTAGTACGCAGTGTTTGATGGCTGTTTGTTTGAGTAGAGCTGGTCCTCTGGGTGTGAGTGGTTTACTGTGATTTGCACACACCTGGAGCTCACCCAACTGTGTGTAAGCTCAGCAGTCTGAATCACTGGCACACAAACTGACCCTGACTCTTACCACAAATTCTTCTTGGATTTGCTTTTAATAAAACTTCACAACTGAATTTGTTTTTTTATTTTCGGTTTGATCAGCATTTACTTTGAGGGTTTGGTACTGGGAACAGAACAGATTAAAGGTGATAAACCCATTTGATCTGTGTCGACCTGTAGCTGATAGCACTTGTTTAGCATGTGTTCTATAGTGCACCAGTATTTCAACTGCAGTCACAGGGGGGGTAGACACAGTTAATTCCTATAACTCTCATTTCCTGTGTCCTGTGCAGCTGTTACTGAACTATCAGCGGTGGCGCAGGGAGAGTCCTGAGATCAGCCGCTGTCTGTCCCCCTCCTCTGTGCTCGGCCTCCTCAACACAACGTACCACGCTGTCCTCCCCCAGCGGGACCACAGCGGCAGCAGGGTGCTCATCTACAGGATCGGTCAGTAAACCTGTGTTCTTTGTGTGGATATATATATATATGTGTATATATATATATATGTTTGCTTTGCTAACACATTCCAATATAAGGTGATATATTCATATATATATTTATGTTCCTGTTGATACGTGTTGTAACCAGAGCTTACTGCTACATCCTGCGTAGAGCTACAGACTGATGCAATGTGAATGAAGACAGAGTACAGTGGTTTCTGTTTGCAGGACAGTGGGACCCAAAAGACTGGTTGGCCTTCCAGGTGTTCAGTGTCAGCCTGATGACATCAGAGATCATCTCCATGGAAACGGAGACACAGATGCAGGGTCTGAAGGCCATTTTTGACCTGCAGGGATGGAGTTTAGGCCACGCTCTGCAGGTTAACCCTTCCCTGGCCAGAAAGATTTCCTCTGTGCTTTCGGTAGGCCAAGCATCCTGCCTCAGGTCAGCTTTATGTGAACACAGCTCTTACTATGTGCTGTGAAGCTGGACACACAACTCTACATATGCTAAGGTGCAATGCGGCATCCATAATAAAACATTATACTATATAAACACTTTATTACAGAAAGGAGAAATTGAGGTCTCCACTAACCTCCTTATGACTACATGTTGCACACAGGAAGGTTATTTCTGTAACGTTCTTGCGTAAGTTAGGAACACAGCTAAACAACACACCATTAAAGCAGCACATTGTTAGAGTCAATATGTTTGTTAGTTAGCTACAGTTTCAGAGTGGAATTCACTAATACTGCACTGTGGTAGATATATGTACCACAAGTAAAGAAAGCAGAATTGTTTCCCCCAAAGTTAAACAAGTTTCAATAAATGATCTTGGTGCTGTGAAACCTTCTTTGCTCCAAGAGGCTTCAACATAACGAAGTATGGGAATGAGTCCTTTTGTTCAGCCTTATCTTCCCCCCCTTTGAGCATTATTATTAGATCGGCCGGTAGAAAGATGATTTTTTTTTAACTACAGGGATAATTTTTGATTGCTTAGAAATATTGTTTATTGAAATAGCTGAACAGCTTCAGTGTTCACAAGTTCAATTTGTTCACATTTTTACAGAATGTGTTTTCCTTTTCTTTTTCAAGTCTAAGAGCGTTATATTGTTTCTACACCCGTCCTTGTATGTGTGTGTTTGCAGGACTCTTTTCCACTGAAAGTCCGAGGTATCCATCTGGTGAACGAGCCAATGTTCTTCCGGCCCGTGTTCGCCATGATCCGCCCTCTCCTGCCGGATAAGATCCGAAAGAGGGTCAGCCACCTGTCACACACACATCACCTGTCTCTGTTCTCACACTCACACACACCGTGTTGAATCAGGTTCCCTCTCCCCCACTGCAGATCCATATGCACGGTGCTGATTTCCAGGACACTTTGAGCGACTTCTTCTCACCTTCTGTCCTGCCTCCAGAATATGGAGGGGAGGGGCCTGGCATAGAGGGGGTGTGTCAGGCCTGGACCAATCAGCTGCTTCAATCAGAGAAGCTTCTGCAGCAGATTGCCAACCACCCAACAGGTGATATCACCATCCCTCCTGAGGACTGCTGGATCTCAGAGAGTGGAGGCGTTCACACCAAAAAAATCCGGAAGTAGAACTTGGTTCATGACAACCTTTTTACCCCCTTTTCCGTCCCTGCTAGATAGCAGGTACTTTTGTTGGAGAAAAAGGTTCCTATTTCTGATTGGCTGGGCGGATTGCAAACCACGCCCCGTAAAACTCCCAAAAGTTTTGGGAAGCCGCCATTTTTTC